CACACACACACACACACACACACACACACACACACACACACACACACACACACACACAAAGCGCTGTAAAGATAAGCACTAATCCTGTTTATTACCTCCTCCCTCTCTGCACTCTCCCTCTCTTTTTTCATTTTATTCCTCCCTCCTTTTGTCCCTCTCTTCTTCTCTTTAAGCTTGTTTTAGCTTCACACACACACACACACACACACACACACACACACACACACACACACACACACAAAGAGCTGCCACCTTACAGCAAAAACGTGTCAGGTTCATGACCTTCTTGGTTTGGAGCAGGAGTTCTCAAACATTTTGGGTTGGGGGAAACACTCACAGGGGTAAAACATTTAAAGGGACCCTCCCTCATGCTGATTAAACACAATTTACTGTCATTTTAATCCTAAATGCCCTGAGAGAAATTATTTTTTGTTTATTTTGTTATAGTCTGCCTCTCATGTTTCTGTCTCCCTCTTGTGTTTGTCTTCTGTCTTTTCCTCCCTCAGCCTGCTCCCTGCCTGTCTGTTCAGTCATCCTCTCCTGTTGCCACTCTCTAATCAGCCCAGCTGCTTTCCATATTTTCATCAGCCCTTGCTCTTTATATTCGGTTCTCTGCCTCCACTCTTCAGTTCATCTTTCTCTCTGTTCTGCTCTTCATGTTCTACCGAACATTTTACTTTGTATTTGTCGCCTCACTGGCTTTTGTTTTATTTAATAAATTGTTTAATTTAGAGTTTCTTAGTCTGTTTTTTTGGGTCCAACCACTGACAACACAGTCAGGTTTAGTATTTTTTTATTCCTGCAGTGTTCCTCATAAGTATTTATTCAGCTTTTTTTAAACAATATAACAAAATTAACAATTTATTATTTTTTGAGGACCCCCCAAGCTACAGCTCTTGGACACGATCTGGGGTCCCCAGTTTGTGAACCTCTGGTCGAGTCTACATATTTTCTCTCTCTCTCTCTCTCTCTCTCTCTCTCTCTCTCTCTCTCTCTCTCATTTTATTTGTTGTTTGTTTGGTGTCCTTGTGTCAAAAAGGCACCACCAATTAAAATGTATTATTAATATTTTTTATTACAACCACCGTGAATCTATTTTATTGACTTAAAACAACCTGTTTTATATTTCAGAACAATCCTTGCAATTTTTTAAAATAGCAACCACTTTTAATATTTAACTTTCTTTCTGAAAATCATCTCAGAACCCCACATTTGTAATTTTAGGAATCCTACAAAGTCCCACCCCGAACATTGGGACCCCAAGTCTAAGACCCGCTCCTTATTTACTCTGAGCCGAGTTAGATGAGTCCTGTATCAAAGATTGACTTTAATTTATAAATAACTCACAGGAAAAATGTGATGGTGAAGTAAGACAATGTTTTATATGAGTGGATTGTATTTTTTCTACTTGGGATGTGTTGAAGAAAAATAATGAATGTTCAAAACTCATCAGCCTTCAGGATTTTTAGCTGTTAGAGCTTTATACATATATATATATATATATTTTTTTTTTCTTAAATCGGCTCCTTTGGTTTTTACCTTCAACTGGCTCTTCTTCCTCAGACTCTCTTTCTGCACGCTCGGAGATACTGAAGTCCGAAGACGTCTCATTGTCATAGAGGCTTTCACCCTGTTCCGAGCTGCTCCTATCTGTCCCACCCAATGACCTGGGTGAAGATGAAGTTACCTCTGAAATAGCTGAGGACCCTGAACCTCCAACTTCAGGGATGGCACCACTGCCGCTTTCAAAATAAAATGTTGAGGACTGTTCTTCCAGATCACCTGAGCTCTGGCCAGATCCCACTGTTACGACTGAAGCAGTGGTTGAATAAGGAATGCCACTCTGCCCAGAGGCCGAGGCTTCTGCCTTGTCCCATTCATGGTCAACGGCCTCCTGGGAGTCAGGGAACAGAGTTGAGCCAGAGACACTGATGCTGTCAAACACTTGTCCCTCTGCAGTGGGAGATGATGGGGAAGCTGTGGGGGAGAAAGGGAGGGAAGAGGTTGGGAAGGCAGTGTTTCTCCTTAATGTTGACAACCAAACATCCTGAACGGTGGATAATGTGGCGTCAACAGAAACATGCAGGTCACTATGGGTGACTTGGAACAACTCTGGAAAGGAGGATGAGGGAGAGATGTGGCTGGGGGAGTGCAGTGGTCGGTCTAAAGAAGGACCATCAGAGCCCACAACAGAAGGAGAGTGCAGAAGACCGTGTATCCCAAAAGCAGATGTTGAAAGGAGGCCCAGACTGGAGTCGAATTTTAAACTTGTAGCGTTCCAAGCTGAGGACAGTGGTGGGACATGAAGAGAGACATGCAACCAAGACGAGGACGCGGAGGGCTCCAGTGAACAGCCACACTCAATGTCCACATCGCTAGCTACTGGAAACCCATCATCACTAACAGCAGGGAGCAGAACTTCCACCGTGCTCCCTGTGGCGTACCTTGAGTCATCAAAACCAAACGATCCAGATTTAGACAAGCCCTGCGTGGCATCAGAAAGGACAAACTCACTAGAAAGAACAACCGAGGGCTGGAGAGTGGGGCTGAGAGAAAGAGAGACTTTTGAGAGGGACAGGTCCCAGGAAGATTCAGACAGTTCAGCTGCAACAGCGGTGCCAGTTAGGACCAGCTCTGTTTGGAGGGGAGGGGTAACTCTAACCACAGAGGGATCACTCGAAAACCCAGACGACCAAACACCATCATCACTGTTAGACCCAACACTGATGCTGGGAGAGACAGAGTCAGAGTCCCAACCAGACCTGGAGGGTGAGGGGTGAGGCAGGGTGGAGGCTAGGAGTGTGGGAACTGAAGGAGAAGCAACGTCTTGGGCAGACAGCAGTGCAGAAGCAGCATGCTGGGAGTCCAGTGCAGAGGCAGACAGCACAGGCGCTGAGGAGAAGGGGGGGTCATGCAAGCAGGTGGAAGGTTTGATGCTTGGATCCAAGGTGTCACACGGGGGGAAGGAGGAGGAGGAGGAGGAGGAGGAGGAGGAATAGGTAATGACAAAGTAGTGCTCACCATTCGATGGTAATCGTGTGGGCTGCAAGACAACCCCACTCAGCAGGACAGAGGTGGTTGTAGATGGAGAGTGAGGCACATTGAGACTTGATTCCTGTTGGACTTCTCTGGAAAAGGAAGTCTGAACAGTTGGACCTGGCATCTGGACCTCAGGAAAACCTCTGAGTTCTGTAGAAACACGGTCACCTGTGTAGTTGTCTTTCTTTATGACTTCTTCTAAACTGTCGTCAGTCTTATTCATGAGGGGTGATGATGGTGTGTAGTTCATGTCTTTAGTGTCTCTGGAGTCAGAGGACACAGTGGTTGGGACAGAGACATGATCAGAAACTCCTGAATACTTCACAGATTTTGTCTTTGAGAACAAAGAGACTGTCGGATTAATTGTACTCATTCCATCTTTCGTCTTTTCAGATGCAGCTCTTGAATTTAAGTCTCCATTAAATCCACCTGACTTTGTGACTGAAGGAGCAGCAGGAATTGAAACGAAGGTTTCCTGTGTTGTAACAGAATTAAAAGCGTTGTTTGTTTCTGTTGATATTTTGACCACTGGTGGCTGTGAGGGGCTACCCCAGAGAGCTGTCTCTTCAGAATGAACCAACATTTCACCAGACTTGGTGGATTTCAGAGGGTGTTCAGAATCAGTGCTGGTTCTCCTTTGATTGGACTCTGCTGTAGTAGCTGGGATGTCAGGCAGGGCTAATAAAGGTGTTGCAGGAGTCATGGTCCTCCTTGTGTCTGTATCACTCCAATCTAAACTGTTTATCGACTCTTCAAGCTCATCCAAGGACAAGTTGGGCTCAGGCTGTTGGAGAGAGTTTTTTAAGCAGCGATGAGTCTCTGACCGTTGATTGGTTAGAGGCATGAATGGATAGAAAACACAAAACTGCTTACCAGAAAGGAAAATTCGTTTGAATCTGGATCTTGGGCATTTTCTGAAAAGAAGAGCAGAGTCTAATATTAGTGACATAAAATCTTCAAAAACAGGAAAAACAAGCCTGAAGATAAACTATGGCTTAAATAAAATGTAATTTCTTTATCTGAGAATTCTGCTCTAGATTGAATCTGAAAACAAAAGGAGAAAAAGGGAAAAAAAATAAAAGGTTACATAATTTTACAGTCAAGATGAAAAGTAAAATCAGACCCTTTAGTCAGAAGCTTCTGTGCATCAGAAAATAAAATACAATCTGGTTCCTAAATGCTTTTAATATATATTAAAAGCATTTAAGAACCAGATTGTATTTTGTTATGGGTGGTCACCAGTGAATGGTCACCATCATACATTTCAACTTGTACAGATTGTCTGTAAGTTATAAGGATTTTACATTATTTTGCAGGTATACGGATGTACAGAGCAATCTCACAGATTTTTTTCAAGCCTTAAGGATTTTTTCAAAACCTCATTTTCAAATTTATCTAACATGTCAGAGCCTRTAGGATGATTTAAAAAACAATAAATAACATCAAACAGCCATCTTCCAACCTGCTCTGCCGCTAGAAAAAGGTTTTGAACTTTTTCCGTTCTCCTTTCCTCCTGCTGCGAGTTGTATGGATTTTTTGCAAAATTTACTGATTTTTGAGGCTCTTTATACAGGTAAACGTCCGAAGAGGTTGACATGTATGCACCATCCCCTGGTGACTAGTTACTGGTGACCATTCCACTAGAGACCATCCACTAGTGGACATGCACTGGAGACCATTCACTGGTAAACCACCTACTAGTGACATCTACTGGTGACCATCAACTCGTGGTCAAATCTGCTGATCAGTTATTTCAGTCAGGAGCAGCTTGTTAATAGTGGTCAGAAGTTTACATACACATGTTACAGTGGGGTGCGAAAGTTTGGGCAGCCTTGTTGATTTTCCTGATTTACCTTTATAAATCATTGATTGTTTAGATAAAAAATATCAGTAAAATATATCATATAGGGGACAAACACAGTGATGTTTGAGAAGTGAAATTAAGTTGATATGATTTACAGAAATTGTGCAATAATTTGTTAAACAAAATTAGGCAGGTGCATAAATTTGGGCACAAAAAAACATTTAGTAGATCCTCCTTTCGCTGAAATACAGTAACAGCCTCTAAACGCTTCCTACAGCTTCTAATGAGTCTGGATTGTGGCTAAAGGTATTTAGACCATTCCTCTTTACAAAACATCTTTCTTTCTTTCAGGTTTGATGGTTTTCAAGCAAGGACAGCTCTCCCTAACCGGCCCTAGTTCTTCCCAAATAACTGTTTTAGTTTCATCAATCCACAGCACCTTATTCCAAAATGAAGCTGGCTTGTTCAAATGTGCTTTAGCATAACTGAAGCAGCTCTGTTTGTGATGCGGGTGGAGAAAAGGCTTCCTCTGCATCACTCTCTCATACAGCATCTCCTTTTGTAAAATGTGCTGTGTAGAGGTAACCCTGGTGAAAAAAAACTTTTCTATTGTTTTTCTTTGTCTTTGATTTTAAT